CTCAGGTCCATCAGCTCAATGAAGACATACCCAGAGCAACGGACACATGTGAGTGTTTAGAGCTGTGCGTTTTCAATGGGAACTGACTGTCAGAATACAATAGAAGTATTTTTAAAATAGATATTGTGCCCAGACATTTCAGCCTTTTTTGTCTTCACTTTAGAATTCGTAAGGCATTAAGGGTGTATTAAGAGGAGCATCTTCAGCAGCTTGAGGGAGGGGATCGTCCCTCTCTCCTCGGCTCTGGTGAGGCCACATCTGGAGACTGTGTCCAGTTCTGGGCTCCGCAGGACCAGAGGGATGTGGAGCTGCTGGAGAGAGTCCAGCGCAGGGCTACCAGGATGATCAGGGGCCTGGAACATCTGCCCTGTGAGGAAAGGCCGAGAGACACTGGTTGGAGGAAACTGGCTGCTAAGAGGCCTGAGCCCTCACAGGGCAGCACTACTGCACTCGCTGCAGCTCAGTCGGAGCGGGCACGGGTCCAAGGCAAAGCACCCGCCGAGTTTCCTACGAGTGAAATGCTGGACAAAAACACAAGCTTGTGGCAAGCGTTGATGCCAACAAGCCGCGACAAGTGGCCAGCACTTTGCATTTGCATCCTTATTAATCAGATCTGGCAGATGTGATTCTCACAAGCCCGTACCTCTGAGAGGCTGATACCCCACACTACAGTCATACTTCACAGAAAATGACGAGTTTTCGTCAGTGGTGAAAGAGAGGCCGATTCTGCAGTGGGATCTTACAGTTTAGCATTTTGGGGGACTTACATCACTTTAAGAAAGAAGTGAGGTCTGAGCAATTTGAGCCCTTCCAAACAGAGTGGCCAAATTCCCTGCGAGCGTGAAATGCTGCCTGTCCCCGGAATCAGTGGAGCTCTGCCAGGTTGGCTGGAACTTGGCTCTGCCTGTCAGCTCATTCAGCAACGATTGCACTTGACATGTGGCTCAGAACAAGTGCTTGTTTTTAAAAGAAAACAGTGCAGTCTTTCAGTGCTGCCCCAGTCTATAGCTGCAATTGCAATAACTCGATTAACTGTCCTTAACTCAGACGCCTAAATATTAGTGCACAGAGAGAATAAGAAGGGGGGAAAAACACACAGTCTTCCCTCTTTCACCCTTTAATGGTGGATCTTGCTGCTTGAGACAGGATATGATGGTCTGTAGGTAGGTCTGTAGGTAGCTTTGCTTCTCATTAGAGTCTGTAATAGAAATATGTGTTTAATATACTTATATATGTATATATATATATACAGTGCAGTCATATTCCCTCAACTCTAACTCATCATTACCAATTGGGTTCAGATCATCRGCTTCTCACAAGCTTCAAGAGGGCTATGTCAACTTCTGCTTGAAATGGCTAAAGCCATTTACTTTCAACAGCATTGTGTTGTATTTGCTTAAAATTCACTACTTCAGGTTTTCTACAAAAACAAATCTTAAAAAGCAGACATTCTGGCARTGCAGGTGGACTCTGCTAGGTGATCCCAGCATAGCTACAAGAGGTCCCTCCCCTCAAAGAATGCAGGTTTCTGACTGCACAACTCAAAGCTGCTGCTACCAGCACAGAAAGTTGGCCACTTGAACCTCGAGCTGGACATGCTGCAAGTGCTGCATGAGATACATGGCAGGCTGAACTCCACTGAACTCTAATCTTGCTTAGGAAGAGTTTAGTAATAGGCCTTTCCTATAACCTTCTCACTTGTCCATTTTGTCCCTTCGTGCTACAATTCTGGGCAGGTCAAAAAAAAAGTAAGGGTGAATGTACAACAAGAGCTGCTCATCTTTTGTACTTCAGAGGTGAAGAGCAAGAAAGGAAGATCTTCAGAAATGCAAAAGCACTGTTCAACCTGGATTTCAGCTCCCATCAGGCCAAGAAAAAGACACTATGTCTCCCTCGGAGTGGCTTTTAAGCCTTTGGAGCCAAACTCCCAGTATCCTGCCCAGAAAGCCCAAGCGTTTGGTTTAACCTTTAATTTGAGGTTCTGTCATTTGACTGGGGGGAGGCATCAGGAAAAGGCTCTGGACCGTGTTGCCCAAAACATGACAACAGACACCAAAACTCCAAGCTGACTGTAGGAAGCAATTAGTGTTTACTATTCCATGACAGTTAACACGTTGGACTGACCTTTCATTTACAGTTTAGTACTGAACATTAAGCTGCAAAATTACTCATGCTTTGCATTTAGTACTGGCATCAAAACTAACAGCATTAGAGAGCAATTCCCATCGCGAGACACACGTTCCCTCTGCCCAAGGGTGGGTGTACATTTAAACACATTGTATTTTGTATTTAAAGCACTTCCATATATTCATCCATTACTATAGCCGTCAAGAATCACCCTGCTTCAAAATGCACAAGTTATGCAAAACACCCCGGGCAAGACAGCTGGTAAAARTAGGCCCTTCCTTATGTATGTGGGGAAATGGGAAGGCCGAAGGTCCCCCCAGCAGATCCTGGGCAGAYGGCAGGAGAGAATTGCAGGGGAAATCGTGCTTTGCTCATTCTCCTTGAAGCTACTGGGAGTGGAGGTGGTGCAGGGACGCGAGACGCATTGCAAAAGGCTCTCGGAAAGGAGCAGCTCTGCTGCAACACCCCTGGGCTGAGCTCGGGCGGGAAGGACCCGCATTCTGTGTTGCCGGAGTGGTGCCCACACAGAGGAGCCACTTGTGTTTCTCAAGGAAAGCAACTTTCCAGCGTGTTCTGGGCTGAACTTAGCGCCTCGACCTGGTCGCGCGTCCGGCCAGTCCTCGGGTGAGACGCGGGGCAGGCGCAGGACTCTGCGTGTCGCCTGTTGGGCTCCGGGTCGCAGCCTGTCCCGTGGGATCYGGGCCTCTCTCCCCAGCCCTTCTCCGGCTCTGCCTTCATGTATTCCCGTTACGCCCTTATTTCCACATCTTCGACCTTTTGCAGGATTTTTGAGATGCAGACACTGCACGCGGCCACTCGGCAAATACCCAGYGTTCAGCATAGCCCCACCAATTATTAAAACAACTATCATGGAATGAGGTTTCTTCGAGCCAAGTGTTCTTCAMATTCACAGGGACTACATACATCTAATCTTTACTTTCTTTACTGCAGCTAAATATGTCTTATTCAGTGCAGCTCAAATATTCCCATTTCACACTGAAYGCAGCAAGTTTTCAAGCGCAGCTCAGCCTGCTGCTTATGTCAGAGCCACTGCTGAGGTGATCTCCCTGCTTCCCTTTTTACCATCTCTAGACAGGGGTTATGCCAGCTCAGGGGTCAAAATTATGAGATTACTGATAAAGGCAGCTCAGTGTATTTTAAATATATATATATATATATWTWTWTTTTTTTTTAAGAAAAAGAAACCTATCCAACAAGGTTGTATTTGTATTTAATGCACATTTTGCTTTTAACAGCAACTTGCAAGTTTAAACAGCATAGACCTTACAATGCTTAATTAGTGAAGAAGTTATAGTGCTTATAAAGTTGTATCTAAAATATACCTTATTCATTCTCTATTGAACAATACTTTGAAGACAGTCTAATATCATAATTACACGCTTTACAGCATGTTCACACCACTATAGTTAAGGCTGTGTCAGCACTGTCAGCATGAACCTTTTTCAGCCATAAAAACACAATGCAGTTTGAAAAAATATGGCATCCAGGATCTCAGTCTTGTATCAACTTTTGTCAAATAAGAATGAAATAAAAAGTATATCATATAGGAGTCCACCCAAATGTATTTTGGATGGTTGCTGCTTTTGCACAATTTGCTCAAGATTACAAAAACGAGTTTTTTGTAATAAAACTACAAAATCTCCTCACATACTGCWGCTTTTCCCATGCCTGCGTTTCGTTCTTGCTCGGAGGGGCAGGTTGGAGGAGTTCTGTGCTCAATGAGAGCTACTCGTCTCCGGCTGCATCCGCTCAGCGGCCACGGTGGCCACAGGGGCACCGTGCTGGGCCCTGCAGCTGGGGGACAAGACACGGGGACGAGACACGGGCACCTAGGGGTTTTACACCACTCAGGCCTTGGTAATTCAAGAGGGTTTCATCAGGCTGCAGAACGTGCTGAGCCTGTTCAACAAGGCCAAATACTGCGAGGAAAGAACCCAACAGCTTCTTTACTGCAAGGCCAGAATTCCTGTATGGAATCTCACCCTAARCACATGTCTTGATGGCTGCTGATTTCATTAATAAAGTCCTTTCATTACTGCCACACAGTTTGTTTAGAAAAACAACCAGGCAAACAAAAAGGTTGGGATCTGCTTACACATGACCTACCTCAGTTTAAGGTAAAGTGCATCTCTAAATGCTTTCTCAAGGCAATCGTGCTAAATAAAAATGTGCTTAAGGTGCTCAGCTGTCACGGAACTGTAACAAGCTAGTGAAAATTTGTGGAGCTGCAGAATCAACCATATGCTTATTTATTACCTTTGAACTTCCCTAGCTGGAAGATTTGTGACTATCAGCTTTGCTACATGCTTTTGGAAGCACCCCATTGCATACTTCTCAGAGATAAGCAAAGAAAACTGAAAAAGAGTTGCCTGTTTCAAGCTTCGTGTACAATACATACACACATTTATTAATAAAAATGTATCTAAACAGCTATTTGTTCTTTGGACCAACTCCAGTCTCCCTAGGTGACTGTAACATGTCTTATAAACCTTTCATGGAAGATTTAAAAAAATAATAATTCAAGACAAAAGAATACATTAAAACAACACCAAAACAGAGACAGAAGAGAGAAAATGGAAACAATTCCACCCRATTCACTGCTGGCACAGGTCTGCAGGGTCTTCTTCAAGTTGGCTTTTTGCCTTCTTGCACAAGACCTTTTTTCTGATGGATCTTAAAAGGGAACTGCAAAGCCAACAGTGGAAATTGCATGTTCATCCCCAAATATGGGTCAAACTCTAAATTCCTTATTCTGAGGAAGGGAACTGATTAGCACACAGCCTATTCCAGCTCTCTTACCAAACTTCCTGTGCACAGGCAYCTGTACAGCAGGGACAACAGTATTATCTACTGCAGAGCTGCCATGAGAAATGCACAGATGAGCGCCTGGACCATGGCCACAGCAACAAGAGCCACATCAGTACCTAAAATACAGCCTTGACTCCTTCTGCCAAGCACTGTGAACAGGACTATCAAAATTAACATTGGTGAAGAGCAGTTTTATGACAGTAAATGGTAGTCGCTGTTTAGTTTTACATAATAACAACTGCCAAAGGTTCTTTTTTTCCTGTTTGAAGGGACCAACACAAGGAGGCTTAAGGGACTGTAGAAGCATGACCTGATTGCATCCCATTACTGAACACAGCAAGCACCCGCAGAATCTGCGCCAGCCTGATGACAGTCCATGTAAATCATACCCAAGCTGTGTACACTGAGTGTGCTAGGGGAAAAGAATCAACAAAAACAAGGTTTCCACTTCTGGATTCTGTGATATGTCATAGTGGGCACACAACATAGACAATAGAAATGGTATGGTACTGTCCCATACAATCCAKATTAAGTTTCCTCACCTATGACGGATCAGGAAGGACGATACAGCAAGTTAGTAGGCAGAAATCAGTTACTTATTGCAGCAAGGCTCACTGTAATCCAAGAATTTAATAAGGATATTACTATCATCAAGTAAAGATCTTCATTCCTCAATCTGAATTCCCTGTCTTTCACTGAATTAAAGAACAAATTCTTCAAAGTTTTCAAGATAAAGTGAAGCAGAAGTTTCAGCTACAGAAGTGTAGTGCAAAGGTCAGTTTGGCACTGCAACATTATGAACAGATCAGAATTTATGGTAAACTCAGTTTAGCTTTGGAAAAAAATATCCTATAACCAAACCAGTAATGTCAAATGTATTGCATACTAGTGTAACTTCACAGTAATCAAAAATCAGACACCAAGGTTTCTATAGAAGCAGCAATCACAGATTGCAGTAAAGTATATACTATTCAAGGGGACAAAAATTGCATTTTGGCAATTTCAGAGTCAAGTGTTCCTTATGCTCTTCCAACAGTCATTTGTCAGATATTTTCCTCTTTAGAAGGTGCAAGTTGTTTCTCCTCAGTCTTCATGAGACTTCTCTGCTATGACTTTGCATTCATACTGAAAAACAGAAGCGGAGAGAAATACTTAGTAATGATAATTTACAAAACTAATGAAAAACATCTCTATGAAGAGGAATTATCTACAAAGTTAGTAATAAAATAGCTCAGTTTACAGTGTGCCTAGATGAGAGTGGTCTCCCTAAGTCTGTGCACATTGCATCGACTCCAACTGCCAGCTCCTTGGGCAGCAGGAACAGCAGTGCAGACCTAGGGGTTACCCAGCTTCTCCCCAAACACAGAGCTCATCCTTAGCTCCTGGTTTTGAAAGCATCCAAGTAACCACTAAGAGTGCAAGGAGAGCGCAGTGACGGGCTGTGCTCTGATGAGCAGCACTGACAGTTCACTGCTTAGATCAACAAGCCCTGATTGCAGCCTTCACCTCACTCCACATCCACACATCAGCCGGCTGGTGCATATAGGAAGTAATGAAATGCAGATTAAAACATTCATTACAGGCAGTCAGATTTCCCTTGCCAACTTACCATTGCCAGTTGYCTGCCAATATTGCCCATAGTTATTCCACCAGCAAAAAATATACACGGCAGCCAGGAACGAACATAAAGGAAATCTGGAGATGTGTATCTGGAAAAGAACATGTGTTCYTGAGCTCAACCTTGTGTAACACACAGAGTACTCCAACCACTGTAGGCAAATTCATAAATCTAAGTATGAGGATGTTTGCATTAAAAAACGCACATATTGTGGACATYTAAATACAGCAAATAGCAAAGGAGGCTTCCTATCAATTATAATCACATTTATTAAACTATCAAAAGTTTGTTATGTTCTTGGTAAGGTGGCAATTTATTGAAGAGCTCCCAGCTAAAAATCTCACTCTTACAAACACGTAAAAGCTTTTATCAACAGTCTGATTTATTTTACACTCCACATGAAGTGGAGGCAGCTTTGACAGGCAGACCAGATCCTACTCTTTCAATTATTGTGAATTTATGTTATAGTTTCAAGAGTATCATTTAACCTTGAAGGAAATACTTACTGATAAACTCCATTGTAGACCAGAAGCTGTGATACCAACGTAGCTAGGAAAGCAATTCCTATGCCAAGGCCAAAGCCACTTCGTGATCTATCAAATGTCCACCACAGCCCAATTGATAGGGCTGCTAATGTGAGAGATAACTGGATGTTGTTGGCAAAGTCCACTTTCTGTGTTGCTCGTTAAGGATAAACTTGGAAACGAAATAAAGCTGTTTTCTTCACTCTATCACTATTTTCCCRTAAGAGTCCATGTCCCTCCATAAAAAAAAAAATATGACACTAGACATTGGAGCTATCAGGTATAAGGAAATAAGACTTGTCAGTATTACGAGTGTAACGAGACATTAAAGACTTAAGATATTATTTCATGTTTAGAGTCTTAGCACTGTACAAAAGCAGAGAGACTGTACACCTATGAATCAGAATACAAGAGTTTTAAACAAAAAGTCCACATTTTACCATTCAGTGTTAAGACATTACATCCTCACCTGCTCCTTTAGTATACTRAGCATGAAATCTTAAATCCAGCATTAAACTGTTCCAAATGCCACGAATCTACTGAAATAAGATATCTTTTGAAGTTAAGTAACTCTTGACTTTTTTTTTTTAATTCACATGCCAGTTTACATTCAGCAAAACATTAACAGCGTTAACATTTTCTATAAAACAAAGTGTAAATGATGTTACTGTGAATGCATGTACATCAACATCGAAATCAGTTTCATCAGCTCTGTGATAAAACTGTGAAGCCCCTGMAGACATGTTGTAGTGCTTCCCTCCTCAAAAGGCTGCAGAAATACTGATTCAGCCTCACGACTTCCCAAAACATGAGTTTTTTTAACCAGCTCATCAGAAATCAGTCTTCACGCAGAGACATTCACCAATACCCCCACTCTTTAGGGAGCAGATTATGCACTATAATGTACTGGCTGACTTCTAATTGCTCCGGCTGAATGAGCCCAGGAACAGTAACTACTTGCTCGGTGTCACGGCCCAATTTGGAGCACGGGGTAACAGTGCTTATTAGCCCTGGAAAATGCTTTGGTGTCCTGGGTCACTTCTAGTCCAAAGTGCTTATGTTTCACGGCTGATTGCAAGACTGGGCGTCAACCTCTAACTACAGCGTTAAATGAACTCTGACTTTTATGTATCAAAGCACTTTTTTGTGACACATAACCTGCAAGTATTTCTCCACRTTTGTTTCAATTATTTGAAAGAAATAAAGACTGAAATACCAATGCTGAGGCATTTCAATGAAAAGACTTTTCAGAACCAGCTGGTGGGAGACTGGAAACCTATTTGCTATTGGCAATTTCATTAGATTACAGGATACAGCACTGGCATGATTTATACCCACAAAGACTGCTACGCATCGCATTACACTGGACCATTCTCTCTTAAATTTATGTGGTTCTCCAAGATGTCTGTCCATGCACGGGTACAATAGCCCAATCACAGCTGTGGAAACAAGAAAGAAAATGCCCCAAAAGTTAAAGCACTGACAACATTTAGCTAGAATGAAGACTATCTAGATTTTTGACAAKAATTGTAACTAGCAAAACATGTGTTGTTAGCATAAATATAACTATAGAAAACACACACTGTAACAGAACAGGAATTTCAAGCACAATTTTGTTATTAAAAAGCACTGTAAAAGTCTTTTCAATCCCAGCAGCAGTGACTTGGCAAAAATACCAAACCAGAGATAATCTGAACTGAGGGTGGAGGATCAGAGAATTCTGCACCATAACAGAATTTGCAGCCCTACAATTTAGCTCAAGAGCAGTAACAGGCTGCAAGTTGGCACTTCTGAAATTCCACATCTGAAGCACGCGTCTTAAGGTAATTACAAAACAAAAGCACCACAAGAAGGGGGCAGTGTGATTTATACTGTCAATATTTTTGTCTTCTGTTGTTGTTACAGGCAGTTTTCATTTGGATAACACTTTTCTTTCCTCACACAAGAGGGGAAGCCAAGAGTCCACAGAAGTTGCTGAATACACAAAGCAGAAAGGACTTTCAACCCCATTATGCACTTCGAACATTTCTTGATAAATGGATTCTACACTGTAAATGCGGTAAAAAAGACTGCTGGGATCACAGCTGAGGAATAAACTGTTGCTTAGTTTTAAACTTGTGCTGCAGGAGCAAAGCAGAGACTAAGCAATCAGTATGGAGTCTAATACTCTCAGCCTGGCACAGTGCTGGGAAATAGGTTATGGCAAATGGTTTTATTCTGCCAGACAGCAGTCTGATCTCCAGGATTTAGAAAATAAATCACCAGCAGAAGGGAGAGGAGGGAAAAAAATAGCAATTCTCTTGCCAAAGGCATTAGGCCAAACTGATGACTAATACAGTGACAGATGAAAGGTCTTCTCAGAAAGCCACCTCGATCGCCACTGATTACAAATATGCAAAACACCTTTATTCTGTTCATAACAACAAACCATGCCTCATTCCATCAAAATTATCAGGCCAGCAGAGGCAGAAAGACCCTGAAGGCTCTTCTGAGATGATGACAAGCCTAACCTTTATAATTTTGCTGTTCACAGCTGCACATGTAATGTTATCAAATGCTCTCAAAAAAAAGAGCATAAAGCTCAACCTGACTTTGCTGTGAAAACTTTAAGTGCTGCAAGTTAGGATTCTGTCATTTCAACCCCCACAAAAACCTTGAAAAAGAAATATCAAGCGCTACTRTTAAAATAGAGTGTGAACCTGGTTTTAACAGAATAGCATGGGTACTTCTATTTATTTTGAATTTTCTCACCCTTCTCACACTGTATGGACATAACAATAGCTATTTTCCTAGTAATAACTACGGACAGTTACATCCACATGCTCTCTAAGAGTCAGAGCACCCAAAGCCATTCCTACACAGAATGAGGAAGGAAAGCTGTTGAGCAGGTAAGTTCTGTCACAACTAATGATAAATCAAACTATACATAAAAGATCAAACCTTTTCTATATTGTTTGTCAAGTCAACCAATTTAAAGCGTAAAAGAATACACTGTTGCAGGACACAATCAATGAATAATCCTCAATAAGACAACAGAAAGAGGACTAAGAAACAACTAACAGATCATGTAGATATTTAACTGTGACCATAACATGCCAAATGCATTTCCACAGTACAGGACAGATTCAGAGAGCTAACTAGAGGGTTTCCTTTCAAATCAAGCTGCTCTATGATATCTGTGGTGTAATATTTCAACAAGGTATCCAAAAGAAAGTAACTAGATACTTGAAAATAAAAGGCATAAATATTATCATTACCAAGACAGTGATGCCAAGCTGAACCTAATTTATTGACTCAAACTAACATGCAGAAAAGGTATTAAAAAAAGTATTAAAACCAATCTCCAGGAAGATGCTGCCTTTACTACTAAGGTTTACTAAGGTTCACTAAAGCAGAATGCTCCAGTTTAGCTGCTCCCTTAGTACAATGTAAAATTGACCCATGTGATTGGCCATCTTCAGAGCCAAGCACAAAGCCCAAAAGCATGAGACTTTTAACACAGAAGATCTCTCCTGATAACAGAAGGCGCAGGAAGAGGGAAAGTGTATTTCTTACCAATACCACAGACAGCAGATATCTCATTTAAACGATCCCCAAAATCACACACAAAACCCTCAACTCCTGTTTCTCCTGTGACCTTGCAGGAACATGTTCACATCACCCAATTTCCTGCAGGAATTTAACTGAGGTGCCCTGTTCTGTGACATGCTTTCTACAACTGCAAGCTGCATATAGGGCCTTAACTCCTTGAGATAAAGTCGAGTTTCTCGTCTTTACAGATAAACTATACCTCAAACTGGCAGAACAAAACTGTTTGGATATGTGCATGCATATTTGTGTTTATATGGAGAGGTAAGGAGGAGACACGATAGCTAGTAAAAGGTAGTGTTGCCAGAAGAGGAATTTAAATTTTCCTCATCTTTAAATAAAGTTTTTCATAACTACCTCGTGAAGCTTTCATCTCCACACCGGGCATACTTACATGGTTGAACTTACCTGAGGCTGTGCCACAGCAAGGTGGTACCCACCAAGCTGAGGAGAAGATGCTTGTGATGACGTCAGGGGGGAAGAGGGTAACGTTTCTCTGGATCTGAAGCAAGTTTAATACTAATGCAAGGAATACACCAATAAAAAACAGGACTACTCCACGAATTACCAAATTCATGCCATGACTGGTTACTGAAGAAATGTATGGACCACACTTTTTTGGTAAGGTTGGCGTTGCATCATTTTCTGCCATGACTTCTTATCTTCTTAGAGGCATCCAGCAGGCTGACTGAGGAGGAGTCACTTGTAATCAGTATTTTGAGTCTCTTCAATTAGGAGATATCCAAACCCTGAAAAATAATAAAACAAGCCTGAAAAAAATGCAGATGTAAGTAACATTAAGCATATTTCTCCTACATAAACCACAGATCGGGTTGTGGGTATTATTTTCTTTGGAATTTTCAGAAGGTACAATTAGTCCTTGAGAAAGAAAAACCTCACCAGAACCAACCACAGTTGCGAAAATGCCTTCAATGAAAAACATCAGCTTTGTCTACTAGAAAACAGAGAAAGAAAAAACATGTGACATGGGATAGCTTGGAATTTGAAACCACAGAAGAGTAAATAAAACTGATATCAAAAAGAAGGGCTTGCCTCACAGTAATAACATATGTAGATTTTATCCTCTCCTTAAGGCAACAACAAGAGATTACGTAATTCAGAAGCAAGTAAACACAGCCCTTAGTTCCAAGGCAGCCGCTGAGGTTCATGAATATTTCTTCTTTAAGAGAAGCCAGAAAACATTTCCCAACTGATAAGTGAATCTGAGAAGTGTTTTTCAGGGTGGGGTCAGAATTTCAGCAATCCCAAACTGAATGATTTTTTTGCCATCGCAGGTAAGAGCAAATAATTATGCAAACCAGAGGAAAAGTCTCAATACAGAGAAATGCTTACCAGAGTAACAAACATTTTGTGAAAATTATCCCATGTTACTACAAACTATGTCTTTGATCACGTACAAAAGAACCTGAATGCAAAGGGGAAAAGGAGCTCCACCTACCCGTGTACCTGACAGCTTCCTACAGGAGCAGCTCTGCATGCGCCCTGTGAATGGCAGAGATCCCACCCCAGCCACTTCAAAGAAATAAAAATCCTGTCAATCAAACGACTTGTTGTACACGGCTTCAGTGTCACACTCGTGTATAACACCCAGTTTGACAGACAGCTTAGCCACCTGGAACTCCGGAGGAAAAAAATGGGACATTGTTTTTGAATCTGAAGCCGCCAACCAGTGGCAGCCTCGGTTAACTCTTGTTTGTGGGCACAGCGCATCCTTCCCCTTCTGCTCGGGCTTCCACAGGTCTGGAGGAAGCTCTCCCAAGGCGGAGCGGCAGCGGGAAGGAATTTTATTGGAAGGAATTTATTTTGACCCTATGGCATATGCCGAGTAAACGCCAAAGATGAGGTTAAATACATCCAGGCTGCCTAAGACACTCAGCAGCCTCTTCCACCGATCCTSGGTCACTCGGAAATCCCCTCGGCTAGAAAAGCGCCAAGAGGGGAAACAAAAGCGAACCCAGTTCTCCTGGTGCCCAGCTTCCCGCGGGCACGCTGGGGGGTACTCTGTCCACAGGGTACAGGATCTTCTCCACACGGCTGCTTCGGAGCTCTGCGTGTAATTGCAAACACATCTGGAGGGCACCGGCGGTGTCTGGCATCYCGGCCAGCTCCCTGACTCACCGCGAACATTGAGACGTCTGCGTCGGAGCTGACGCTGGGAACGCAGCAGATTTCCCTCAAGCAAAATGGAGGTGCTCCAGCCTTTTCGTTCCCTTCCTCTAGAAGGTGTGGTGGTAGAGCTCGGTAATATATTTAGCCTCCAGGAAAGAAGGCATGGAGTCACAAATACATTAGAATTACAGTTGGGGATCTCCTCCGTCCCTTGGGGTTTTCCCACCAGCTGACGACAGGGGTACTGAGAAGTTAGAGGGAGTCATTTCAATATATGGCATCAGAGGCTGTAGATAACAACGATCATAAATGATCTTTAAAGCAATACTGGCCTTAACAGGATCTTTTAAATCAACTCTAGACCTTACACGGTACTGGAAGGCTGTGCTAMAACATCACTGACCCAAGGGTCAGAAGTCACTGTTTAAATTTCCAGCTCCTCCAAATCATCACACGAGCTGAAACAGGTCTCTTCCCTGTCACCGTGGGAGACAGCAGTTATCTCCTTCGTAGCCTTCATTCTCCTCAGAAAACAAGCCAAGCTCTTCATTGACTCTCCGTTTCATTCGTTATCCTAGTAGCACTTGGTGCTTCCTGCAGTTTGAAGGGCACTTTTTTGAGTAGGTGTTTTTTGAGYACGCTGACGATTCCAGGTTCAGTTCTCAAGACCTTGCACAAGGAAATTCACACTTCTGCATTTCCATTTACATGATCTCTTCTGCTGCACCCCAGGACCACACTTGCTTTGTCACTGTCATGAAGTGGTTGCTCACATCCTGTCATCCTCGTCTTTCTTTTCTCCTCTCAGTGAACTCCTTGTTCCTCTGCTTGTCTCCAAACTTGTATGTTGAGTTTCATCCCATCTACATTATTCTAGCAGTCGATGGCATTCAGTTTTTCCCTAGGATATCTCAGTTGTTTTGGCCTTGAGGAGAGTTCCCAGCTTTGAATCAGCAAACATCATGACTTCAATTTATTTTGTGAGCCAAGGTCATAATTTAGAATTTTAAACAAGACCAATCTTTGAGAAAATCTATTAATAATTTCCCTGTAGCCATTATTTCCCCATTTTAGACCATCTCTTGATATCTCTCCAACAAGCCTCTCCTTCTAGCAATTCTTCTAATTACAATGATCTCCAACTTAATTAAAAATTCTCAACCACCCCATGTGGCACAACATAAAGTGTTTGATCGCTGTAAACATAGCCCAGATTTATTCATCTTCTTTGAGTAATGATGATGATTATCAAATAAGGCACAAATTTATTCTGGCATAAACCAGTTTCAGTGTATAAAAGCAGCGTTTACCCAACTTTTCATTTATTTAGTGTCATTCAGCAAATATATATCACACTTCATTGTGAAAAAAAAAATCAAAATGTAACTGGGCTTTTCTGTCCTAGGAAGCTGCTTGCTCTTGTTTTAATACAGCCTCTGCAGCTGCATTCGAGGCACTGAGGACACCAGCAACAGACTTTTCCTACAGCAGTCCTGGGAGAACAAGGCCGCTTCAGTGAGCGTTCAGCAACAAACATGTTTGTAACACGTCATGCCACGTCTTAAATTAGTGGTATCGCTTCCAGCAGTGGTTTCTGTCCTGGTCTCTTGTGCTAGACACAGGGCTCCTGTTTGTTTTATTGCACTTTCCTAATTCACTCTCCTGATCTGGCTCCGAGACCTTCCGACAGAACAAAAACTGAGGCACACAGCGARGCAAGCGCTGGCCAACACTAATATAAAGATTCTTAAGATTCATAAGATAACCTGGTCTCGAGATCCTCAGGTAAGCATAATACTCGGACGTGGAAGGTATTTGCTATTGCCTCCTTTAATGAAGATGGAAACCGGCATTTCTGAGGACATCAGCGTCCTGCCTGGCCTGGGAGACCAGCGTGCGCGGATCGACGGCGAGTCCCACCTTTCAACCCTTGGGTTTTATTTGGGGTTTCCACTTGGACAYACAGCTCCCATTTGGAAGCGAGGCTGTTTCGGAGCTCTCGTCTCCTGGGTGAACACCYGGCCTGCCAGGACACAGACAGCCCGGACAAGGTCTCAGCTTCGCCCTCCCTGCACCGTGACCCCCAGCTTCACCGCCACGGCCGCCTGAGCGCCCCATGGAGCAGGGTCATGACCCATCACACCGTGCCCGGCCTTATGCAATAGGCAAAACAGCACCTGGCCCTTTCGGAAACCCTGAGTCACATAAAGAGCCCTTGGCGAGCAGGTCCAGCGCGAGCGCTGCCTGCCCTGCGCCGGCGGTGCCCGCCATTCCCTCCTCTCGCTCCGCCGTGCCTGGGACGCGCGGCGCGGGGCTGCAAGCGGCGCGGGCACGGAAACCAGAAATAACTAAAGCGGGGACAGAGCGGTTTATTGGAGCGCGGCGCGGACACGCAGCGGCCGCCGCGCCTCGCGTGAGCCCTTCGCAGGGCCCGAGCGGGGAATGGGCCCAGGCCGGCCGGGGCCGCGCTCCCCCCGGCCGCCAGGGCGCCCGCGCCTCCCCCCCGGCCCTCCCGCCACTGCCGCCGCCGCCCCGGCACTCACTCGCCCTCCGCCATCTTCTGCCCGCCCGCGCCAGTCTCCGCCCCGCGCAGCCTCCGCAGCGCCCGCCGGCGCCGCGCCGAGCAGCTGACCGGGCAGGGGCGGCCGCGCGGCGGCTGCGCGCAAAGCGCGGCGCGGCCCTGCGGATCGCCGCGCCGCCCGCCCCCCCCGGTCCGGCCCGGCCCGGCCCGGCCCAATGGTCCCGCGGTCCCGGCCGGGGCAGAGCGGCAGGCGCCGTCCCGGCACGGTCGCTCCTAACGGCTGCCACGGGCCGTTAGCCGCCCTGTTTCAAAATACATAGCGTCTACATTACCGCCCCTCARTCTCATTTTTATTCTTGTATTTATTCATCATATTTATTTATTTTTATGTCATTATTTTTCATTTTGCTTTATTTTCTGGTATCTCTTCAGCTCGCGAAGCGGGTGCAGCTCCCCTTGCTGCAGAGCTGAGGGGTGAAAACCCAGAGGGAAAGGGGAGGACGGGGTCCCCCAGTGAGCTGAACCGCCGGGGAACCCACAGGGCACGGGAGGAGAGAGGGCCCCCGTGTCCCTCTAAATGGGAGGCGTTTCACAGGGAAACACAAAAAGAAAAACATTAATGTGCAAAAATAACTTCTTTTTTTTTTAAAAAAACATGGTAGTAAAGAATAAATGAAATAGCACAAAATTCGGGAGGTTGCTGCTTGAACTGCACGGTGCTGTTCTTCGGGATGTGGTTTGCTATCAAACATGCAGATGGTCTCTGTGTACCTTGCTTCTGCTTCCAGTTTAGTTGATTTTAGTTACATGTGGTTGTGTAATAAATACTGCTGGCTATCTATTTCAGCAACAGAGACGCGTTTACCCCAAGGAGCCTCTGACCAGCCCTGCCTTGTGAAAGTCCTTGCAGATCCAGGTGCTCTGTGCTTCATTTTATTGATTAGGGCAAGAATGACACAGGTCATTACTCCAGAAACCACATTTTTATCACCAGTTCGTGGCCTCATGGGGAGAAGGTACAATATGAAGCACAAAAGAGTTTGCTTTAAACTTCCCCAACATGAGCTAAAGGCATAGCAATAAAAAAATGACATTTTTGGTATATATTTATGATYGTGGGGGAGACTTAGGAGAATAATGTTATATTTGTGTTGCTGTTCTACCACTAATTATGTCATTTCACAGATAGTAAATACAATTTATAAGCAATATTTGCACACAACATTCACTCAAACATAGTATATAATTGCAAAGATCTGCTACCTCTTTCCATACTAAGGCTTCCATTCGTAGTGCCAACGTGGAGATCYCATTACAATTCCCAGAATAATGGTGGGATAGCATGAAACTTGTTACTGCGCTTGCTGTGGTGGCATCTCCTGTGACAACTGTATTTTCAGTGTGGTGACACAGATATATGGTGAAAAGCAGTGTCACATAAMATTTATAAATGCGCAGGGTGATGTATGGGTCTGTGATCGATGTTTTAGGAGCAGAAAAGGAAGGAATAGAYTTACAAAGGCAGAAACTCATTGCTACTTAGATGAGCAGTGAATAAACTTTACAGTCATTAAAGTTTTTTTTTAACAGAAACTATTTTTTACCAAGTAATTCCTACTAATATTTAACATAACATAAATATTAGTCCTAAAGGGATAGTAAAGTTAATATAAAATAWTAACTTTATAGAAAATAGAAATTAACTTTTAGAAAATAAATAACTAGGGCTGGTATAAGTCAGTATCTAAGGCCCTTGTGACATTGCCAGTTTACACCAGCTAAAGATCCGGACCYTACATCCATCTGGTTATATCCATCCATCCTTGAGGATACAATTTTGTATTGAAAAAAGAATGAGAGGAGCATGAGAGAAAAGAATAGGAAAATATAGCTGAACATGGACATCTGGCCTGCAGGGACTCGTCACTTGCCTTGACTTGGGCTGGAATCRCTATGAAACAACAGGAAAAGCCTATTTGTTTGGAAAGCAACACAGGCTTGTTTTAATGCCCCGACTGCCAGACAAGACAGAATATTCTGGACTTGGTTTGGGAAATAAATATTTCTCTGGATACAATACACACGACAATGAAAAGYTACTCTGTACAAATCAGAAGAGCTTAGAGCGGCCACAGACTTAGGGGAGAAGGAAAATTGCTCTCACATCTCATTCCAAAATCACTGCGTTGCCTTGACCTTCGAGCCTCGTTGTTCGACAAGGCCATGTCAAACCTGTTTGCTAGGGCCAAGGCCAGTGGGCAAAGGTGTGTCCATAGGAATACAGGAGATATAAAGGAAAAGGAGGGATGGATGGACAGAAGGAGAGAGAGACAAGAAGACAATAGGCAGAAAAACCTAAGATATGAGTCTTTATATGATAAAATGACCAGGCTGTTCTTGACTTTCTGTAGAAATTTGGAGATGATTCCTTTAGGGTTTCCATATATAGACAAGGGGACAACCTGAGGCCAAGGCTATTGCTCTTTTTCCAAGCATACTTTTCTTTTGTTTGATATATTAGGCCAAGCTTGATCTCTGTATGGTRGGTGCATGAATTTTTGTAGAGCTCTATAACTCAGTCAGGCCTGTGCATCCTGACAATCTGTGGCATCCCTCAGACAGGGAGCTCTGCATGTGAACTGTGCTGAAGTATGGCTGATAACCAACTGATAACCAACAGTGCTTGCACTACAAGCAGCACTTGCTCTTCCTTGGGGCCTTTAGTTATTAAGGATTGTTTTAAATCAAAATATTCTTCAGGAATATAAATTTCTTTCAAAATCATCTTGGAATTTCTCCATTCAGAAGGCTCCCGGAAGATCCTCAGAAAAAGATTGTAGAACTGGGCACATTTTCCTCAAATGTCTTTTATTTCACCATTTGACGCTGTCTTATCTATTATCTATTATCTATTATCTATTATCTATTATCTATTATCTATTATCTATTATCTATTAGAAGACAGTGTCGTAGCCCTCACAGGTAGCAGACATCTGTGTCGATGACAAAGATGACAGTGGCTGGAAGTCTTGCAAGACCTGGGAATCTTGCTAGACACCGAGGGGCAGCATATGGCAAGTGAAGAGGGGTCCTGGCATGAGAACAGCATGCAGTGGAGAAGCTCTATGAAATCGATTTTCTGACAAGGTTGGCATTTTAGAGAAGAACAGAATAAAGAACCTGTAGCAATGTGAAGCCATCGGGKGCATTCTTTCATACGGAAAAGGCTTGTGCTTATCTCAGGTTAACAACAGGATGCACAATTCCGGGGWTGATACGAAAGGCATTATTTTTGTTTATTTATTTACCACTTGTGAAAGATAACGTGTTGCCAGCTCCAGAGGCCAGAGTCCCGTATTGATTTACTGAAAGGTGCTTCATGGGCAATTGCCAGGGCAGCTCAGCCCTGATCTACTTCCCTTTTCATTCAGTATTTGCTAAAACAGGTAACTAGGGAGCAAACAGTGCCAAGCAGGGTCTTGGTTCCTGCGATATGGTCTGCAGCCCACACGAAGTTTCCCAGGACAACCTCATGGCATCATGTGCCAAAGAGCCCCAAATAAGTGTCGTACCGATGGACTATGTGATTTTAGAAACAATACTGAAAACACAATGTAATCATGACCACATTAACATATAGTCAAACATGGGATTTGAAAATGAAAGACATACTGTGGTATTTGATAGTGCCACATGACATCCGCGTTCAACAGGGAGTGTAAATGAAACTAGAAAGTTTGGACACTGTACTTCACCGGAGCATTTTTCTTTTCAAAGAGGAATTCTTGTGGGAGCATGGTTGGACCAAAGCAAGGAGGCATTTGAACTTATTTCCTAACAATTTTGATGTGCATGTTTATCATAAGTGTGTCACTTGCTAGGAGTTAAAATAAGGTTGGTGTGGATGAAAAAATGGCATAAGAAATGTTGACGGAAAAACAGCAGTCTGAGAATGAAAGCTCAACAGGAAGTTCAGCTATTTTCTAAACTCAGTTGAAAATACTTAAAATATGTGTGGCACTGGAAATAGTAGAAAATAGTTTCTCTATTAATATATTTAAGGTCTGTGGGTTAACAATTTCTCTGSAGCCTGAAATTCAGATCCTTCTCTTGCTCTTTTTTCTCTTGCATTCCTTCTTTTTGTCTCCCTTTCTCTCATTCCATTTGTGGCATCTCAGATCCAGAAAGCTGATAATCAAGACTGTAGGACTGGAAAAACTTCTACAAAATGCCATGAGGTTGGGCATACAGCACTTAGTGCTGGCAATACTGTTGACTGAASTTATTGCTGTTGCATTTGTATTTATGGAGATACAGACCTTGTAYGTTTGTCTACAAGAATGTCAGCAACTCATTCGGCTTGTTTTGAGAAAGAACAGTATTTTGCTGTTCACTGCACTGATACATAGCACGTACTGAGCGATTCCTACTGCTCATTTGATGCATCTGTTTTCAGTTAAAGAGAAATAGTCTTCTGAAGAAGGCTGCTTCTTTCCTTTACCTGTTGCAGAAGGAGGAGAGGACCAGCCTGCACTTAGACACCTAAGGTTTAGGCCTGAGAAAAAGGCCATAATGATGTTTTCCTGCCTCATTTGTTCAGCAGTGGAGGTTACCYGGATCAACCCTGAGGAATGTCAGTGTTTCAACTCGTTCCTGCTGTGTTGGATGGCAATTCCTGCTGRCATTTGACGTTGCTGGAAAGGGCACCTTACAGAGCTGTTTGGAAAATGTCTATTCCTCTTAGCCAAGAGAAATTTGCAATTTTCACTGATAATTCAAAGGCCAAGTATTCTGTTTGGTTCCCAGCAGAAATATCTCCATTTTGCAGCATTTGGTTTCCTCTCAAATGTAAACTTTCCCTTTGGAAGCTCATAGCATACCAAATGCAACATTAAACAAATGAACAGCTCACTCAGTAACATAATTTTCCATTAAAAATAATTTTAATAAAATACATTCCATTAGCCATAGCTGCTTTTCACAGTAAGTGATTCAGGTAGCATAACATAAGGATCAGGCTCCRTTTCTGAAACACTTCACTGCATCCAAGACGGAGCTGGA